CATCCTTGAGTTCTTTGATTCGGGAACGTGCCTTCCTCGCACGCACTTTTGCCGACAAGTGCTTCGAGGCCATCTCCCCCGTGAGCTCCGCCGCCAGGCGCGCCTGTAAGTATAACCGTTTAGTACGCGATGCATTGTACTCCTTCGGCTGTGTCTCTTTAGCCTCCAACAAATATCTTGTGGTTGCGCAACCTGGGTTCCTCATCACTTCCTACTTCCGAGTTGCTAGCGTAGTTGTCAGGTGCGTCCGCGTCGCTCTGACCAGCTTGCATTCCTCCTTCGCGTACGTTCTAAGTCCAGCACCCAGCCTCTTCATAAGCTGCTCGAAGCTTCTACCATCGTTCACAGCACCCAGCCTCTTTGCGCCGCACCGTCGCCTCAATAATCCTCTTGACCCCAGGTCTGTGAATCATCGAAGCGTGTAGGCGCCCAATCCCTGGTCCCATGTAGTGTTTCTCGTCCAGTTGGAAGGCAACTAATATCGCGTACCCGTGATCTGAAATGGGGTCCTCTGGCATAGTATGAGTGGAGTGTGACACGTAAGGCAAGAGCGACTGGGATGCTACAGCTTTATCTATGCGGGTACTAACTATGTGACTCTTTGCGTAGAATGTGTACTCCCGACCTCCTGGATGCAGTGCTCTGAAGGCGTCTGAGATCTGGCAGCCTGCGCATCGGTGAACGAGTTTCTCGTTCTCGATGGCTTTATCGTCTCCAAATGAGTTGTCAAACTTTGGATTCTCAATGATATTCAAGTCTCTTATGATAAGGAGGTGTCCCAAGGGTGAGATCTGATCGCGTAATGGACCGAAAGAGTCTCCAATGAAAGCGGATCTGGCTGGGATGCTCGATGGAAGTAAACTGCTAGGAGCACTACGTCTAGACCAAGACCCCTAACTGTGGTTTTGACTTTTTTCCTCACGGGTGAGCTAAGGAATCATGAAAGGTGATTGATGGATTATGGCTAAGGACGGCTACCCCGCCAGCACTGGTCCTAGGTGCGGTTGTGAGGAACGATGTGGCTAAGAGAGAAGTCCAGTATGGGTGGTCAGGTCCTAGTCTGGTGTCTGCTAGCACGGCTATGTTGGATCGTTTCGTGAACCATCTATGCACTCTAGACTTTTTCGTTCTGTCGCCTAAACCGTTAACACTTAGGGTGGAGATGTCGAGGTGGTTTTTAATATTCATGGGTCCACTGACTTGCACCCCCTAAAAATCAACAGGCTGAAGAATGAGAAAGTACAGGCAAGGCTAACTCCTAATGACCATTAGGCTGCTGCATCCAGGTACCAGTCAATGTCCGTCACAGTCCACACTCCTTGCGGATAGCGGTGAGATTTATCTTTGTGGTAGTGCAGGCTTTCGCCAACTGCTGCAAATGAGCAGCTGCAGAGATGTGATCTGCTACTGCCATGAGACTCTTCCCCTTTGCCTTCCCGCAGCCCGCTTGTGTGCAGATCCAGTCTTCCCTATTGCTGCCAGTGGAGATGAGGGCAATGGCTGGATCGCGGAGGATAGGGAGGAAGAGCGATGATGATTTTAGCAACGCAGCTGCGGAGATCGAGAGGCAAGCTAGTAAGTGAGGTAAGAAAGGTAAGAGGAATGCAGATCTAGATCTGAACTGTGATCTCACTTTGCCAACAGTGAGGTTCCATTTGCCTACGTTATTCTGACACTTAGTGATAAAAGCATCATGATACTTATCATAATGCTTGCCACCATAGAGCGAACAGGATAAGGCAGGGTAGTGGACGAGAAGCGTCTTCGACCGGGCAGCAGATCAGCGATGGCGTGGATCCAGCGACGATTGCAGTTTTCCGGGTGAGCATAGACCAGCGCTTTCACCACGTCCGTATCCGCGCCGGTGGAGACAAGAGCAGCGCAGGAAGGCCGACCGTTGGCTCCTCTTAAGCGGGTAGGTCACCAGACGGTTGCGAATCATGTCCAGCCCGACTGCAGCCGAAACTCCTTTGATCATGACCTCGATGGCGTGCGGGTTCAACGCCTTCTCCCAAGCGTAAGTAGGATCCTTCGTGTGCTGCCAGTGAAGAGTGACCAGCTGACCATTGTTCTTGAGTGGCTGATAGGTCACCTCCTTCCGCATCCATGATGCATCCGCCTCCAATGCGAGAGATATTTGCAGGCAACAATAGCTCGTCTTGGCAATGTACGCTAGCTGAAGTTCCTGAAACTTCGTCGTTGTCGCAACATCCACTGATAACTCTGAATACCACCCGTGTTTTATCAGTGCTTTGATGGCGTCAATCACACAGGTAACCTCTTTCTCCAGCGTGAAGGGAATCAGCAGAATAGTGACTGAACAAAGCCTGAAGTTGGCTACTTTAACCAAGTCGATCACCATCTCATCGTCGGAGTCGTCCTTGGGAAAGCCATCAGCGTCGGTAAGAGCTCGAGATGACATTGTCGCCTTTTCGTTCACAGTCAAGCCCGATCTGCCGGCTACTAACGCCATTGTCTCGCCATTGACGATAGGAGCCTGAAGTTCCTTGTTAACCACATCAGTGCCTGACTGCTGATCTTTCGCAGGAAGAGTGACAATGCCGTTAAAATTCGGCAAGTCGGGAGCATGACGGGAGCGGTGACCCTTAGGCAAGACCAGAACGTCTGCAGGGTGAGACATTGTGCGATGATGAAAAGATCCAAACAGGAAGAGAGCGTGCAGAGCACGCCTGAGGACTGAAGAAAATGATGCCTAGTGACGCCTGGTCTTGTCATGCTCCAATAGCTCATGAAGCAAATATTGGGTTCTTGAGGTTGCAAGTTGCAACCTTGGTACGGTAGATTTGTTCTTACGGTAATAACCGTAGCAATAGAGATGTAGCGATTCATTCTTGCTTGATAACTGTGGATTATAGCCTGAAGCGTGACTAACAAAAGTCCTTGAGAATGCCTGGCAAAGCCCCAAACTTGTCGCCTTAGAACTGGAAATACCAAGGTCAGCAAATATGACCGGTTGTCCATTGTTAATGTTAAAAGCGATACTTGTGAAAGAAACAGGCGAATGTGCTGAGCATTGTAGCGAGGACGTTGACCTAGTCAAGCATGGCAGAATCCATGACTGCCAGATGGCGGAGAGAGCAGAGAGCTTCATTGGAGTTTCATTCATGTTGTGTGCACTTGATCGCACACGAGTTTCCGTTCCGTCTTCGTCAATTGAGCTGCGGGCTTTGAACGAAGCACATTGCCATTGCAAATACAAGAAAGCAAGCTTTCTCAATTTAGGGCGTATCCAACTTTGGGTCATCAGCACTGTTCATTCAACTGTTTGGGGCATCCGCAAATCACGGATGCCCCAAACTCAACAACGGAACCGCGCGCGGCTCGAACTTCGGGTCATCCTGCAACCTGCATGCGACCGTCACGCCCAATGTGTCCCCCACCAATCACACACAAGTGCGACCCCATGTTGGGTCCCCCTCTTTTGACGGACGTCCTTCATCATTCACGCCCGTCAATTTCACCGACACCATCACTGCGTACATCACAATTCCATAAAAGCCTCCTGACCATGAACACAAATACAAGCCAAATGTGCAGAGCCAGTTGAAAATACTGCCCGACAGCCATATCTACAAGCACAATCTTGACCATAGCTAGCCGCCTTGCAACCAGCGCGACTCCCAACACGCCCCGCATTATGCACGGTCGTGAACCAGCTCCCGTTGATAGGATGAGCTTCCACTTTACGCCTCCTGGGAGTCCTTAAACCATGCTCACAGGTCAGGTCCTCATACTTTGTGTGGCCCTGCTCCTGTGGCATGAGGTGCTTCTTAATACCTGGCAGCGTGTAGTCTCTCTTGCGGCTCTAGAGTGGATAACCACCATCCTACCCATGGCTGAGGCTGAAGATGCCGAACGCCTCCGCCGTGCAACCGCGCACCGAGAGAAGCGTAGCCGGCGTCGCGAGGCTCGTGTGGCGGAATGGGTGGAGGAGATCCGCGCGATGTTCGACGACGAGTTTGAAGATACCTTCCGTATTACCCGCGAAGTCCTAGACCTCATTGCTGAGTGAATGGCCTACCCCATGTCGCGTTTCGTGGAAGTGTCTGAGGTTCCCTTGTCACTGTGCTGTCTTATACCCATCAAGTATTTTGCTAGCGCCATGACGTTCCGCGATTTGGGCCTCTTGTTTGGATTGCCGCAAGGACTCATCCACCGTATCGTCGATGCCTTCTTGGTATGGTTTCCCCGCAAGTTCAAGCGTGACTGGGTGCAGTTTCCTACGAGGACGTGAGGGAGGAGATGGCGCGCGACTTCCGTGCTATCAAGGGAGTTCCCAACGTGATTGGGGCGATTGACGGGAACCACATCGAGCTACGTGGCATGGAGGCTCACTGTGGTGACTACTACAACCGGAAGCAGGTTTACAGTGTCCAACTACAAGTGACATGCGACTCAAAGGGGGTCATCTGGGATTACAACGTGGGCAATCCTGGTTCAATGCATGATCAAGGTGTTTTCTCAACATCTGATTTGCATGGCAGGCTAGAGAGTGGGGAAATCGCCCCCTATCAGCTAGTAGGAGATGCGGCATACCCGCTGAAGCCTTACATGCTCAAACCCCTTCACGCCCCACGCCGTCGCCTGATGAAGAAATGGGAGCAGACATACAACTACGTGCAGTCTGCTACCCGCATGGTCGTCGAGCGCACCATCGACGCGTTGAAGGGACGCTGGCGGCTCTTCGCGCGTAGGAACCAGAGCAAACTATGGCGTGTATGCGCTGGGACGGCCTGCATCATCATCCTGCACAACATGTTGCAGGTCATTAGCACACCGCGCATGAAAACGCAAAATCAGCACCGGGCAATCTGGGCCGGGCTCCCTAACGGCTGGTGGACAAGAAGCGGCATGGACAAGTACGAGTGGCAGAGCCTTGACAACCCTTCGTTGGCTGACCTACGCGCGCGCAGGCATCACTTCGGCAAACACATCCATCGCACTTACCTCAGGCGTCACCGTGTGCGGACATCGGCGCGTTAAGGCTCCGCATGCTCCTCGACATCCTCGGACACTCCCATGTTCTCGTCGCCCGCAACTTCCGGATGTGCTGGAGTCGGGGTATTCGAAGGTGCCGCGATAGGCGCTGGCGGGCTGGCTATCTGCATTCGAAAGCCAGCCTGGAGCGCCGCCATGTTCATGGCGGCGACAAGGAGTTGGGTGGAGTCTTGCAGCTGTCGCACCACCGTCGCATTGGTGGAGTTGATGGCCTCGCTCACCATCTTTGCGGCCGCCATGGTGGCAGTCTCTTCAATCCGCCTTCATTTAGGGGGTGGAGTCACCCCGGCATCTGTAGTGGAGGGTGTAGGGGGTGGGTGTCAATAAGGCGGAAACGGTCTTTATGTCTTCGTTTACTTCATGGATATTTGATTAATCTACCTCCAGTTCATGCTCACTTTGATATTTGACGGTCGATACGTCTAACGTTGAACCACAATGTGAGGGACGGAGATATCAGTGGCAAACACAACGCTGAACCTGAAGCAAAGCACTTCATGCTCAATCATACAAATGGGGAGTACACACCTGGTGTGGTCGCCTGACGGCGTTTAGCGCGCCCACGGCCCTCCGATGGAGGCGCAGAAGTTTCCCGGTCGGTGCAGCCAGGCACCGGGGCGTACGCTTGGACGTCAACGTTCGCCGCGCCTCCACCGTCGAGGGCGTGCGCCTTGGCCTTCGCCGAGTGCTTTTTAAGGTGGTAGACGTATTCCCACCACGGTTTTTTTTTAATTGCTTTCCCTCCGCTCTGTCCCTCCCCCCGCTTCGTTTTCAGGTACTTCTTCTCGAGGCGTTTCCATGCGTTGGACATCTGTCCCTCATCGCGGTCCCAATTTTTGTCCTTCTCAAGCATGTGGGCGCGGAGCTTCCTCCAGTACTGGCTCCCCTGCTTGCCCTGCATAGCCTTGAGGTCGTCTTTAGTGTTCCAACGAGCGGCCGCCAGGGACGTCAACTCAGCGTCCGACCACACGCGCTTGTTGCGGGACGCAGGAGCACGATGCTCCTTCTTCGACGGTCGTGTGCTGCGCTCATCACCGCTTCCGTCGTCGCCTCCATCAGTATCTTCCTCGTCCTCTTCACTGCCGAGTTTGTAATCGGCTGAGTCAGCATCGCTATCCGACTCCGAGACGATCTCCTCGAGATCGTCATCAGAGACGTCAGTATCGGCGCCTGTGTCGGGATAGTCATGCCGAGAACTTCGGCTACTGCTGGCGCCCGCAGTTTCGCGTACGGCCTTAGCCATACGCTTGATAGATGGGGATGGCTTCCCCTGCTTTTGCTGCTCTTTCATCCATGCGACGTAGGGGGGGTCAGGTGTTTTCTCATCATCGCTAACCTTCTCCTTTCCCTTGCCACGTGAGCTTCGTCGCGGAGGCATCCTGGTTCTATGGGGTGGCTCACCTACGAAGATAACGGGGTGGTGTGCAGGCTATTCTCAAGTCGAGATCTAGATCTACTTCATCCTCGATTTTTGTTTCTGCCGTTTTGTGGAACCCTTTGGTGAGGCTATGTGGTTGGGATGGGTTTCGGAGGCGCGCAGATCCAAATGTTCTTTTTACCGCCGGGAATTTTGACGGGTGGGGTGATGGGGTGTTTGTCGCGCAACCGGGTGAAAGGGATCGCATGGCTTGAAGGCGGGAGGGCCTATTGGTTGAAGCAACATTTGGCGATGCCTTTTTTGGCGGGACAACAAACACGCCTTTTTGAGGGCCGCACGATGTTAGACGACCCAAAGTGGTGTTTTGTGTAGTTCGGGGCATCCGCAAATTTCGGATGCCTGGAACAGTGCTGATGACCCGAAGTTGGATACGCCCTTAGAATCATACGGTATGATAAGACTCCCCACAAAATTTTCTTGTAGTTTTCAAAATACCCTAGGGAGTATGAAGGTGATTACAGTATCATAAGCGCATGCGATTCTATCTGAAGCACTGTACTTATATACGGTCCTCGAGCGCACCCTGTAAAAATAACTTGACGTATCATAAGTCTTGCAACAATTGAGTTCCAGTTCACAGTGCTAGCCAACGGGGTTGCGGCCCTGGTCGATGTCAATGCGCAGCGTGTGGTCGGGGCGACTGCCCTTTGGCCCGCTAGCATAGAGCGCCGGCAGATACGCCTTATAGGCCGGGATGTAGCGTGTCACAAAGTCATGCACCTGGGGGAGGAGAGGCGGGAGGAGGGGGGGAACGAGGGAATGCATGGTATGGGGCGTGGCGAGGAGGGGGGGGCATGTGGTGGGGACATCGTGAGGAGCAGGATTGCGGTGAAATGAAGAGCATGGGAGCACGCAGGAACATAATGTACGAGAAGAGGCACTGAAACGGGGTCATAGACAAAGGCAGGAGTAGTGGGGCAGTGCATAGGGGGGGCAGTGCGGAGGGGGCAGCACCTGTTCATCAGTCATGCCGGGCTTGCCTGTGGCCCTCATCGCCACCTCCGCCTGGTGGGGGGCGCGGGGTGGTGGGGATGGGCACAGCACGTGGGGGGAATGAGAGGACACATGCGCACCACAGCACGTGGGGGGAATGAGAGGACACATGCGCACCACAGCACGTGGGGGGAATGAGAGGACACATGCGCACCACATGTGAAAAGAAAGGCATGACTCGTGAAAGAGACGACATGGCATTTGGCCATGCCATGCAATGAGCCAGACTGTGCCATGTCATACCACAGCATGCCATGCCATACCTGCAGGCGCCAGTCAAAGACCCAATCAACGTCTGCCACCTGGATGATGACCCACGAGTCCACCATGTCGTGCCACGCGCTGTACTGCTGCAGCCGCCCGTTCACCTCGCCCAGCTGCCGCGTGTGGGGAGAGGTGCAGGGGACGGCGATGGGGAGGGGAAGGGGGAGGGGGAGGGGGAGGGGGAGGGGGAGGGGGAGGGGGAGTCGGAGGGGGAAGGAGAGAGGGAGGAGGAGGTGGGGGGATGGTGGAGGGGTGCATGAGTGCTGTGCCCGGCATGCGAGGTGGTGTGCCCTGCACCGCTGCAGCACGGCCTGAGGGCAATGCCTGAGGCAAACAGTCACAGCCGCATGCAATGCACAGCACAGCACAGCACAGCACCGCACAGCACAGCACAGCACAGCACAGCACAGCACAGCACAGCACAGCACAGCACAGCACAGCACAGCACAGCACAGCACAGCATAGCACAGCACAACACAGCACAGCACAGCACAGCACGCGGTCACAACCGTGCTTTCCCCCTCGCGCACACCTGTGGGTCGATGGCAGCAGCCTCATGGGCGGGCAGCGCGTGGAAGCCGAGCATCCAGCCCTCGAAGAGCACCACGTCCACCGGCCCCTCTACCGCCGCCCACGCTGCCTCGGGGCTGCGGTCGCCCCGCCCGGAGAAGGCCGACTGATGGGTGGCGGGGGGGTGGCAGCGGGCTGAGGGGATTGAGATGGCAGCGGGCTGAGGGGATTGAGATGGCAGCGGGCTGAGGGGATTGAGATGGCATGCACGGTGCTTGGAGGAGGGGAAAGGTGCAGACAAGCATCAAAAGGGGGAGGGCAGCAAACGAGAGAGGGGCATGACACTTTGCCGCATTCCATTGTGAGTGGTGCGAGTCTCACCTTGTCGTAGCGTGGAAGAGGGACCCTGGTGCCTGGGGGCCATGGAGGGGGGGTGCATGGGAGGAGAGGCATGCACAAGTCATTTCTTCATGCCCCTAGTCATGGCATGCATGCGACGCATGTTTCGATGTCCTTAGGCGTTTTCACATAACCATCCACGCATGCCCCTTTCCCATCCCACCCTCCTATACCCTCGTTCTCACTATACCTCTCACATCACCCCCTTCCCATTATACCCCCACTGCACCCTCACGCCCCCACCACCGCCTGTGGTGATCTCAGGCATCCCGCCCCACCTCCACTCATGTGCTCCATCCCGCCCCACCTCCACTCATGTGCTCCATCCCGCCCCACCTCCACTCATGTGCTCTCGTGCAAACTGCTCTCGTGCCGCTGTGTGCTTGCCTCACCAGGTGCCTCACCAGGTGCTGAGGCCTTCTTGAGTGCGGAGAGTGTGGAGACGCCGAGAGCGAGGTCGTGTGAGCCGGCGTTGCCCCTCAGCTGAAGGGAGAGGTGACACGGGCAGGAGGGCATGATGACGATGACGGCGACCACGACGGCGCCGGTGGCGGCGGCGGCGGCGGCGGCGGCGGCGGCGGCGGCGGCGGTGGTGGTGGTGGTGGTGCCAGCGGGGTGCATGTGGGGTGCATGTGGGGTGCATGTGGGGTGCATGTGGGGTGCATGTGGGGGCGCAAGGGCAGGTGACGGATGCGGACCGGGGGTAGAGGCAAACTGGTTGAAGGATCAGGAGAACGAGGAGTACAGTGCAAGCGAGAACAGCAGAGTGAGGTGCGGGGATAAGAGCAGCAGGAGGCAGGGGTGGATTAGAGCAGCAGGAGGCAGGGGTAGATTAGAGCAGCAGGAGGCAGGGGTAGATTAGAGGAGGAGGAGGCAGGGATGGATTAGAGGAGGAGGAGGCAGAGGTGGATTAGAGCAGCAGGAGGCAGGGGTGGATTAGAGCAGAAGGAGGAAGGGGAGGATAAGAGCAGCAGGAGGCAGGGGAGGATTAGAGCAGCAGGAGGCAGGGGAGGATTAGAGCAGCAGGAGGCAGGGGAGGATTAGAGCAGCAGGAGGGCGGGGAGGATTAGAGCAGCAGGAGGCAGGGGAGGATTAGAGCAGCAGGAGGCAGGGGAGGAGGAGTGGAAGCAGTGGGGGGGCGCAGCGCAGTGGGGGGGCGCAGCACCCATCAGCGCAGTGGGGGGGCGCAGCGCAGGGACAGAAGAAGAGAGATGGCGGGAGGGTTCGAGAGATGGCAAGATGGCGCGGGAGGGGAGACAGGGAAGGCAAGCGGTGCAGAGGGGTTGACTGGTGGAGCGGGTGGGAGAGGCACCTCAAGCAGGCGGTTGGCGGGATGAGCCTCGCGCAGTGCAGCCTGGGGGGCAGACAACGAGTGAGAAGACAGTGCGCATGGGTGTGCGAGCATAGTGGGTGTGAAAAGGGCGAGCATGGAAGAAGCTGGGACTTCTTTGTGCACAATGAGAGGCATGAGAGGCATGAGCGGCATGAGGGGCATGCGGGGCATGAGAGGCATGAGCGGCATGAGGGGCATGAGGGGCATGAGCGGCATGAGCGGCATGAGGGGCATGAGGGGCATGAGCGGCATGAGAGGCATGAGGGGCATGAGGGGCATGAGCGGCATGAGGGGCATGAGGGGCATGAGGGGCATGAGCGGCATGAGCAGCATGAGGGGGGACATGAGGGGCATGAGTGGCATGAGCAGCATGAGGGGCATGAGCGGCATGAGGGGCATGAGGGGCATGAGCGGCATGAGCGGCATGAGGGGCATGAGGGGCATGAGCGGCATGAGCGGCATGAGGGGCATGAAATCATGAGCGGCATGAGCGGCATGAGGGGCATGAGCGGCATGAGCGGCATGAGGGGCATGAGGGGCATGAGCGGCATGAGCGGCATGGGAGGCATGAGAGGCATGAGGGGCATGAGGGGCATGAGGGGCATGAGGGGCATGAGCGGCATGAGCAGCACGAGGGCCATGAGGGGCATGAGTGGCATGAGCAGCATGAGGGGCATGAGCGGCATAAGGGGCATGAGGGGCATGAGGGGCATGAGGGGCATGAGCGGCATGAGGGGCATGAGCGGCATGAGCGGCATGAGGGGCATGAGGGGCATGAGGGGCATGAGCGCGTGAGGGGCATGAGCGGCATGAGGGGCATGAGCCGCATGAGCGGCATGAGGGGCATGAGCGGCATGAGTGGCATGAGCGGCATGAGGGGCATGAGGGGCATGAGCGGCATGAGCGGAATGAGGGGCATGAGGGGCATGAGGGGCATGAGCGGCATGAGGGGCATGAGGGGCATGAGCGGCATGAGGGGCATGAGGGGCATGAGCGGCATGAGGGGCATGAGGGGCATGAGGGGTATGAGAGGCATGAGCGGCATGAGGGGCATGAGGGGCATGAGCGGCATGAGGGGCATGAGCGGCATGAGGGGCATGAGGGGCATGAGCGGCATGAGCGGCATGAGGGGCATGAGGGGCATGAGCGGCATGAGCGGAATGAGGGGCATGAGGAGCATGAGGGGCATGAGCGGCATGAGGGGCATGAGGGGCATGAGCGGAATGAGCGGCATGAGGGGCATGAGCGGCATGAGGGGCATGAGGGGCATGAGCGGCACGAGCGGCATGAGGGGCATGAGCGGCAT